TTCCCTTAGTGAAACCATGTTGACTATCAAATAAAATTCTAAACTTAGTTAAATGACTTTGCAAAGCATCTTTTAACAAACTTTTCCCACAACTGATGTAAGACGAATGGGTCTATAATTACTGGGACAATTTTTATCACCTCCCTTGAAAAGAAGAGTAACATTAGCTAACTTCCAATCCTCTGGTACCTGCCCACTATTCAAGGACTGACAGCAATTAGTAACAAGTGGCTCACATATCCAATCTTTAACATCCTTCAAAACCCTTGGGGAAATACTGTCTGGCCCAGGAGCCTTATCATTTTTTAACTTCCCAATTTTTTCTTAACCAGCTCAGAATTAATGCAGTCATCTTAATATGGATTAAGGTTTGGAGTATGGGTTTTACTTTCTCTTACGCTGAAAAGTAGTGCAAATTTAGCCACACTTGTGGCCAATCCAAATATTGCAAAGAGTTCATATCTATATTCAGAATTTTAAAAAATAGAGTACCTAAAAGCTCTATTTGGGAATCAATCCATCATACATGTCTCCCAGTCTTGCTGGCTAGATGTTAAATAAAGAAAATCTATAAATTTGAAAAGCACTTACTGTTGGTCCTTTGGTATCTTCTTCCTCAGCCTTTCTACGCTGTTGTTCCAATGCTGCATGAATATTAGCATAAAAAATCATTGGTGTTTCTTTTGCTACATAAGCTACTTCACACTTGCCTCTAAGGTAACAAAGTAAAGGACTGAAACAAATTTTAGTACCACAGCAATTCTAAAAGGTCATAATTATATACAAAGGTATATTAAGAATTTTGATATGCAAAAACATCAACTTTTATTATCATTTTACTTGACATTTCCCACAAAAACACCAAAGGTATGATTTTAGAAGTTCATAATTTAATTTGTAACAGTAACTACATGTGAGGTTTACCGACACTGCCATTCAAAGGGTATAGTTGATTTATATCATTAGATAATAATTATAAAATTCAAATGGACAGCAGTAAACTCTGTAACATATGCCAATGACTGTAACAACATGAAATTACCATATATGAATACTCTTTAAAATACTTGTACAATGTTCAAGTTACTTTTTAATGCTTTGTTTTCAATTAATTCTGATACTAAAATCACTGTATATTGGAAATATTTTTTTATCTAAGCTTTGTGCTGCATTGCATGATTGCCAAAATACTAGAAATAAATGATTTTATAACACCAAATTTGATATTTTTCTATAATTGGATGCACAACCATTTGCTTAACAGCTTCTCCAGAAGCATTCCATTAAAACACAGAAACTGTAACTGACCATAAAAACTTAAAATAGCTTCAATAATAAATTCTAATTGAATCTATAGCGCACATTTCTACAATGTGGTTTTGATATATTAAGTAGTAAAGATTATTGTTGAGACAGTTGTATTGTTGACATAATTAACTGTTACCTGTAGTAAACAAAAGATATATCCAAGTAACAGATTGAAATAACAAAAGATAAAATGAATAAAAAATAATAATTATAATTATAGGCGTCATCCTTTGACCCTATTCATGTGGTCATAGTTGTTTAATGAGAAGGGCTTCTTTAAAGTTAACATCTTCCTTACCTGAAAATGTATTTCCGATAGATACTTGCCCTTCACTCAAAAAAACTATCTTCCCTATGTTACCTTAGATAATTGCATGCCACTAGCCTTTACACAACTCCCACCTACTGCATAACGATGTTATTAGGAGGGCAATTCAAGCTCCATGAATACTAGCTCCCTCTATGCTTTTGCACTCATGATCTTCATTCCATGATGAGGCAAAGAATACTGATTTGTACCAGAAGTAGGTAGGAAAGGTGGGAAGTGTGTGAAAATGTGAGTGTTTATCAGGAATACATTTTCAGGTAAGAAAAATTTTAACTTCGGAGACAATACACACCTCTTCACACAGAAAACTAGAAGCCTACACTGATATGGTGAAGGGACCAGGGAGAAATTTACCTGGATGAGCTCCATTTGGAAAGTGCCCTAAGAAAATCCATCAAGTGTGACTCCCAATGGCAGCAACTCCAAAGAGGCACACTCATGAGAGACTGCATCTCATTTTTTTCAGGTTACACAGGAAGAAACAAATGAGCTCCATATGTCATGGGTATGGGCATAATAAGAATATGGCTGTCCAAGTACTTACACATATGAAGTCAATGGGTCAATATGTGTAGCATCATTACAGCCATTCAGACCATACCTAGTACACACCTCAAGTATATGGCCAGACTTACTGGAGCAACACCAGCTGCAGAAAGAAGGCACAGAAACAAATTATGCATGCTTGTCTCAACTTTACTGCCAGACTCTTAGATCCCACCAGCTGCAAGAGGAATGTACATAATTCATGCCATAGAATGTGCATACTTGCCCCAACTCTTACTGTCAGACTCTTGGACTAACACCAGCTGTGGGAGGAGGACACAGAAATTCATGTCATAAATTATGTACTATTATGTGTGCATGCATCAACTTGACTGGATAGCATCAGTTATCAGAGGAGGACAAGTGTATATAGTATGTCCTCACCTCAACTACCGAACAGACACAACTGCTGGAAGATGGCTTGCCTTAGCCCTACTGAACAGATTCATACTCCAGGAGGAGGGCACAGTACTGTATGAAGTGCTTCTGGCATAAAACTGGTATAATTATATGAGGGGTGATCTGCGCTACACTGACAGTGCCCCCACCTACCCACATCTCTCTGATTGGCACCCCTTATTTTTGCCCCATTGGTGATGGTGTAAGGGTCTCTCTTGCTCCACTCAAAGTAAAGGGGAGAGGAATTCACAGTGAGAAGATCTATAAAAATACCCAGATCCTAACTTTTTCCAAGATAGTTCGTATAATAGGTACAGTCTGGATTGAACATTAGACAAATATCATAATACACCACAAGGAGACCACAAGTGCTATGCGGAACACCTCATCTCAACAGTGGGCATATATGGAGCCAGGTAAGTATCTATCACAAATACATTTTCAGTATAGGAAAATTATAACATCCAATATGGTACATTACCTCTTCTCACATACATAGCTAGAATCCCACATTGAACAGGTGGAGGAACCAATGCAAAGGATATAAAGGACTCCAAAAAATACCCAATATATATTATCCTCATGATAAAGACTTATCCTTGGGAGACCACACCACTTCTGTACCAGGTATACTCTTTGCCCAATGTGCAAAAGGTTGTCACAGACACAGGTGGGAAAAAAGGAAGAGTACAACCAAAAGAGAGAGAAAACAATGGGATTGGAATCCAAGTCACCTAAGAACATTCCATCCAGATGAAGAGAGGCTATAAATGAACCCTTTACAGATGGTAATGTGGGAGAAAATGAAACTGGATGTGCTTTAAGGTGTAGAGTGGCTAGAGCATGGTGGACCATATGTGGCCTGTTGTTGTGTACTCAAATCATGTAAGAGCATGTTTATTAGAGTATCAGGTCTTTATAGAAAACATCCAATTTACAGCTGGATTCATAAATTAGGATAAATAGTTCTTAATTAACAAATATTACAACTTTCCTCTTCTTTAGAAAAAAAGGAAATGTTAATCAAGATTTAGATTCTTCATTATTGGTTTTGATACCAATAAGGAGGTTTTCTCTGTTGTAATGGATATCATCACTCTGGGGTTACTGCAGGAGCAGTTGATATATCAGAAGCTATATAAGTAGTAGGTGAAGACATCAGTAAATAAGTTTTTTTGCAGTGAAAGAACTTCTGGTTTAACAGGGGATGGTAATGCTGGTGTATTTACATCAGACTCTGGTGTAATAAACAGATTTATCAGCACTTTGAGGACACCATGCACTTCAGTGAGTTAATATCAAAGCAATTTAACACCCTCAATACAGCAGACCTAGCAAGTGTCTGGCTGTTGTTTGACAGCAAGTTGTGTAAACATGCTGTTTGAGTACGGATCAGTGCTAAGCAGAAAAAGTGAAAATAACAGAAATGTGCTGTAGAACCCCAAAAAATTTCACACCAAACAGGTGATTTAGAAGCATTCAGTACAACCACATTTAGGTTGTGATGGTCACAAGACATGAACATTACTTTTTTGTTCATGTTCAGCACTCTTTGTTGCACACCCTGCTTTTTGCCCTTCTTATTACTTCCATTGTCATAGTATGTCCTCTGCAATCATCAATACTAAATTGTAAGTTCTGCAGGTGGTTCATAAAGGTGTCACACACATCCACACCCATAGTAGCCTTAATAGCAAAAAATCCATTAAAATTTTCTGAAACTCATGTGCCAACTGATAATTCATAATAAACAATGTACAGTGTAACTGACAGTTCAGCATGGCTGATTTCTGGTGTGCTTGCTGTCCATGATCATACCAATATATTTTGCTTGATTAGCTTTTACAAAAACAGCCTGAAGGATGTACTTTCCCATTTGGATAATCAATTCATTCTGAATATCTTTACTGAGCTAATGATATGAAATTTAAATTTTTTCAAATCGCCTCCAATGTTTGTTCATCATGTGGTCAAACTTTGCTAGTAATTCAACTTCACCAAATTTTGTAAGAATATATCTCTAGTAATTATTTTACTTTGAAATTAGTTCCATGTTAACACTGTATATAGTTTTATTGCTTCTGATACCTACTCTCAGGTTCCACCACAATTACATATTACACACACATGCTGATAAAGTTTCATGTTCTTTCATAGTAAAAGAAAGGCAATGAAGCCAGCCCTTGAAATGATGCCATCACATTTTCCACAAAAGAACATAACAAAAAGAAAACACCTTATTTGAAGACTCAGAATACAGAAGTCTTAATTGGAGAACCCTGTCTTTTCTTATCATAGTGCTGGGTCATCGGATATCTGAAATAAGCCTACCTCTATGGACTCACTTCGTAACCCTGCATCCTCTAGTTTGACCTGTACACTATACCTGGTTTCAACTGTCATTTCTCCAAGATCAAGAGCATTGGAAATTGAAGTCAGTTTCTCAGCTGTTAATGCAATTTGATCAATTGAGGTGGAGCATTTGGCATTTTCCGCCTCTTGTGATGTAAAGAATATGGTTAATTTGGAATATGCTCCTAAGAGTTTGGCCTTTTCCTGTAAAATAATCCATTTTTGAGCACTGCTGGGATATGAATATTTCATTATTGCACTTTTCTTTCTTTTTAATTAATAAATAATGCGCTAGGGATGTATGCTTCACCTTTTTTTTTTTAACAGAACATAATGTATACTTTATAACTAAACTACATATGCAACAAATATTGCTCACATTCAATTGTGTCCTTCCAACTTTACTCTATTGCTCTTTCCAGCGCAAAACCAATCGACCACCATTTCATAGTGGGGACATAATTAATTGAACAGAAATTTTTTTGTGGCTGTGTTTGGGTGCAAACAACAGTAGTGTTATGAATTTTCATGTTGAGTTTTTTTCTTTCTATAATCTGTGAATATGTTGTTGTTTAGCCTTGCAGGGCCCGCTTGTCCCACTCTAAAACCGGAACTGTCAGCTCGCCATAAATAGGCTAGTAAAAAGTAGCCTCTCATATCGATTCGAGTTTAGCATAAATATCAGAGCATACAAGTTAATCTTGTATCAAGTCTACTAGTATTAGTATTTTGGCACTGGCTCCAGCAACCTCAGCAATCTTAACATTCTTCTTACCAGACTTGAACAAATTCATAGATGGCCAATTTAACAATAGAAATGACAGAAATCTACCAAAATGGCAAACAACAGATGTATAAACCTTACAGAATGACCAAAGCAATAAGTTAACTAATAAACACAAGAGAAAAGAGTCCCTTCTATGTGAGGGATAGTGATAATTACTAAGAGAGTGATGGCAATCGTGAAGTTAAATACAATGGATTCACCCCCCACCCCCCCAAAAAAAAGAGATCCATGGTATGAAACAGGGTATCCTGGAATTAGTACTTCCCTAATAGATGATGTAAAAAACAAAGACAGAGTTCCCTGAATAGGAAGATCATTACAATCTCAATGTACATTGGAGCTTGAGATGAATTCAATATATAGCATACAGTTTCAAAAGATTAGTATAAAACTGCCTTATACACAAGACCATGTTCCAACCATCAGTTGAGTGTTCAAAACTGTGCTCCAATCTGTGTTTGAACCATTTAGAGAGATGAAGACCTACTGGACAGAAATGAAAGGAAGCCTGTGACACATTGGAAAGACTATGCCACCAATAGAGGGACATTCTGATCAGAAAGGTGGAAGAGAAACCACAAGACTGTCTGCAAACATATTTCACCAATTTGCTACATCCCACTAGAATTATCAGAGGCATGGATTAAGGGAACACAACTTTTCATAAAAGCCAACATGTTCAAAAAATTCAAAACCTCTTGACTGACTGAGTGATATGTTACGCCAGTGAAACCAAAAGCTTGAGAAGACTATGCCCAACAATATAATGCACTTACAAAAACTCTAAGATGAGCTAGGAACTGAGTAAGAATGGGTTTTCCAGCCAGAAAAATATTTTACAAATAAGTTTAGATTATTTTGGTGAAAACGTTATGAACGTTTCCAAAAATTATTTGGGTAAAACTAGGGCAAAAATTTGCTTCAACATGGTGACTGACATTCATATAATAGCAATATGGAAATTTTGAAATGAAGTGCTTAATAGTGATAAACAAGATTATCAAATGTATTTATTACTTTGAGACCATAAATCATATCTACCTGATAAGACCAAATTAGGTACCATCTGTCTGGATATGTTGATGCTACATATACTGATGTTTTAACCTTACAATGGTTTTCTGAAGTTTCATTACAAAAATATATCAGATCAAAGGCATTATCATCAAAAACACAAAATGATGGCTATACTACTAAATGCAATCCAATAGCACTATTTACTTCATTCATTTCTAATTTTAAGCTAATTATCAAAATACTCTCCTTAATACAATGGTGTTTCATGTGATTAGAGCTCTACTAATAATGTTAAAATGGGCGTGCTGTGGTAGAAAGTCAGTTTCTACAATTCAAATTTAAAATGTTATAGAAAAATCAAAAGCACATACCAATTACTTATTAAAGTGTCCAAGTTTATACTTGATGTTTTTTGCAATCTCAGATTTGACAGCTTCTTAAAAACTTTAAAACAAAAACTTTATAAAACATATAATTTACAACATATACTACTACTTTGATTTTGTTTTAACCTTTGTTAAATAAATACATAAATGTAATGGGCTACAATTTCATTAGGTTAGCTGTCTCTGAGAGTAAGTGAATGTCCTTAATAAACCAAATAGTTTTGTTATCTTGTTTGTTCGAATTTTGTATATTTTAGCAACTATTTTAACTGTTTCACTTCCACATTTGTAAATAAACAACTCACAGTGCCAGGTGTATTTTTAGATGTACAATAAATAAATCTAAAGACATATTTTAATATTTTATTATTTATCTGAAACTTGAAATTGTTTAATTTTGAAATTTTTGAAGGGGAATGCCCTTTCTATGTGGTGAGATGAAACTGTAAACTCATATGGCAATACTCTACAGGGACATAAACATTTACATATCCACAGCAATGAATTAGTTAGTACATTAACTATCAGTGTAGACTTGTATGCTTCAAATACTTAAAGAACTGAAAATACCTTATTTGCTTGCTAAATCATGTTGAAGTATACTTAGAAAATATCATTTAAATCAGAGGAGTTGGAATATGCCCCCCCCCCCCCAGACAGAGCTGCTTTTAGCAGCTACTTATACTTTCAATTTCTCATTGTAAAATCTGCATGTCTAGCCAAACAACCCCACATTGCAACTCCTTCCTACACCACTATAAATAATTTACTGTTCAGTTAAACCCAAAACACAAAATTATAATAACTATCTTTTGCACTTTTCCAATAATTTTACAATTGTTTTAGTGACTTTTATACACACTTTTGTCACACACTTCTGTTATCTACCATTTCAGATTGTGATCAATTCAAAAATTTTATTGAAGCAGATTTATTTTTAATCATTTCAGAGCTTCTCATTAGTAGGGAATTAGACACATTTCTTATCCACATGTAATGAATGTACAATGAAAACCTATGGACTTGATTTAGCTCATAATAATGTGAATGTTGTAGTAACATCTACAATTTATGAGAAAGAAAAATGCTAATAATAATCTATTCCATGTTTCTATTCTACACTCATTTCTTGTAGTCTTTAAGTAAGCCTTTCATAACGAGAGCATTTTGCTATGTGAGAAGTATCCACAAAAACATGAGAAACTTATAAATGACATATTCACAATCAAAGGATATTTCTATTGTACATCCATGCCAAGTATAAACTGCTTTCTTGGATCCAGAAGTAAACGTGTATTTCTTACTCTTGACTAATTCTGTTCCAAAAATTTCTGCTGTTCCCGATTTCAACTAGATGAAAAACAAATAAAATTTTATTCTGAAATCATATGCTTGCTGGACCTTAAAATACATAATATCTTAACTTACATCTCTTACCACTTTTAACTAGTGATACTAACCTGCACTTGTAACTAGCAAGTATTACCAGCTATCCAATTCACATAACATGAAAAGTAATATATTTTTTATTAAAGTATATTCAAGTGAGTGATTCAGAATTTTGAGTACAGCTCTGTGCTTAACCATTCTGTATGAATGGACTGTACTCAGCTGTGAATAATGTGAATCCTGTCCTTATGCTGTCAAACATGGTAAGAACTAATGCAGGTATGTGTGCTTCTGTATGTGGCCATTATACTATTTAAGCAACATTTTCAGTACTCTCGATGTAGAGAAAGTACTGGGCATCCTGGAGAAATTTGGGTGCTTCAAAAAATGTGATGAATCTAAAGCTAAAAAAGTAAATGCTTCACAAGAACTGGATACTCAGCAAAAATAAGGCAGGAGAAATGTAACTGAGTACAGAAAAATTAACACTTGAACTTAAACACTGAAAATCCAGACTCAAATCAAGATTGGGTAACTTCTAATTGGTTCAGGTAAGTACACAGGTTAAATCTGTCAGAACAATGTCAGCCGAATTGACTGACCTCATAACCGCTTTTGTACTCATTATAGTTTCCATACTGTTGCATCAGCAGAGGTCACATGACTAGTATCACGCCACGTCCTTCTCGAACATTCACGTCCCTTCCTTAAATCTCGGGATCCTTCAAGATATAGTGTAGTCTTGTATATATAAGCCAGTAAGAACTGAGGCGGGATAATGTGTAATTGAACTGAGTATTGTTGAGTCGAGCACGTGAGAAGTTCGTTGAGAACTATAGCGTTTGTTATGGTGCGACTGTTGAAATTAAGTGTATCGCAAAGTTATATTCAGAAAGAATAAACCAGTTTTATTTAAGAAAGGACTTTTATCGGTAAAGTTTCTTCGGAAAGAATTTTTACAGAAAATTAACTAACGAACGGAGATGTAACAAATTGGTGTTAGAGAGTGGGACAGAAAACAGAAAAAAAAGAAGAAGATGGAAACGAGAGGCGGCAAATCAAACTACAGCTTAGCAGATTTGATAGCAGCAATAAAAGAACAGCAAAAGAAACAAGAAGAACGAGAAGATAAATAAGAAAAGAAACAAGAAGAGAGATTACAACAGTTGTTGGAGGAAAAAGAAAAGAAACAAGAAGAAAGATTACAGCAGTTGTTAGAGGAAAAAGAAAAGAAACAAGAAGAAAAGAAGCAAGATTACAGCAGTGGCAAGAAAACCTACAACAATGGTAGCTCAAACAGCAAAATAAACAAGAGAAATTACAGTAGTTGTTGGAGGAAAAAGAAAAGAAACAAGAAGAGAGACTGTAGCAGTTGTTGGAGGAGAGAGAAAATAAACAAGAAGAGAAATTACAGCAGTTGTTGGGGGAAAAAGAAAAGAAACAAGAAGAGAGACTACAGCAGTGGCAACTGGAACAAGAAAGGAAACAAGAAGCACAAACGGAAAACATTAGTAAATTTAAAAGCGAATTAGATACGTTAAAGGACGATTTATTGTCTTTTACACAAAGAGGATACATTAACCATCGACTTAACCAGCCCCAGACAATGACAAGCCCCTTCCAGACCCTGCAGCTAAACCCTAATGCAGACATCTTCAGCCCTGTTGGAAGTCACATCCCAGATATCAATGTCAGTAATAGGAGTGATCCAGTGTGAAGGAAGCCACAGGAATTCTATGGGAAGGCTCCGTGGGAAGCATATAGAGCACAATTTGAGCTACTGGCAGAAATGAATGGCTGGACACAGGAACAGAAAGCAATATATTTGGCAATGAGCTTGAAGGGACAACCACTGGAAAT